CGGGTATTTATGGAATTAGTAAATGATAAAAATATTTCAAATCACTGGGAGAGAGACGGATTTCGGGAGAAATGACTATCTTTTGGGGGAAGGGATTAGATTCTTAATTTACACAATTCATAAAAATTAATTCTGGATTGGTTAAAGACCTAAATATAAAAGGCAAAACTATAAAACTATACAATGTTAGAATAAATTTTTTTGGAGAATATGTTTAAGGCTTTGGACAGAAAAGAAGCAGCAAGATACAAAAAGCAGGAGTTATAAAGAAAAGTCACAATAACCAACATTTATTGGTCATTCTTGACACTTTATCTGATTTAATTTATTTTATTCCTCACAACAGAACTCTGAGGAGAGTTTTATTTCTTATCCCAATCTATATCAGGAAACCAAGGTACAGCAAAGTTATGTCACTTGCCCTAGGTCACGCCAGCTCATAAAACTTGGGATTTGAACCTGGGCACTCTTCATCACCGTGTTCCACAGTCTCTCCATAGGTCTCTCATTCCACATCAAAATATAAACCCACATACAGCTTGATGAAAGATGCTACAAACAAAGCTGAGAGACTTGCAACAGACTGGGAGCAAATATTTACAGCATTAGACCCAGATTAATTATCTTGTCACACATCCCAATCCTACAAACACCAGCTTCATACATATGTCTCAAATGTCTCCATGACAAATGCTTTCCCGTCACATACCTTGCACAATATGCCCACCCCCTATCTTTCTTGGTTGTTCTCTCTTAATCTTTTGTGCTCAATACTCTTCCTCCTCTCATGCAGCTGGAGTTTCATTGTGAGGCAACTGTGGGATGGGGTGAAGGGAACATGTAGAGGGAGGAGGGAAGGCAGTTGGATGGTGAAGTTGGTGGTGTTTAAGGATAGATATGAGTGGTGATTGAGGATGGCTTGGGGTGAGTTTGGGGGTTAAAACAGGACAGTTTACATGCAATTGAAGGATCACGTGATGACCTTCAGGAGGAATGGGGCTTTGAGAGGACAGTTTAAGAGTGCAGATGGGGGTGCATTGGGAATACAGTTGGGGGATTGGAAGATGGTTTGGGGTGTAGTTGGTGGGACTATCAGAAGATAGTGAGTGTTTAGGGACAGAGTTGGGTATTCTGTAAGGTAGTTTAAGGAGCAAAGCTGTTAACACTCATAGGATGGCGTGGTAGGCTGAATAATAAAACTCCCCCAAAAAGATATTCATGTCCTAATAATCCCTGGAATCTTTGAATGTTACTTTACATGGCAAAATAAAAGGACTTTGCAGATGCAATTAAGTTAAGGATTTTGAGCTGAGGAGATTATTCTGGATTATCCAGATAGACCCTAACTGTAATCATAAATGTTCTTATATGAGGTAGGCAGAAGCAGATTTGACCGACAGAAAAGGAGGAGGCAATGAGACAACAGAGGCAGAGATTTTAGTGATGTGGCCACAAGCCAAGGAATGCTAGCAGCCACCAGAAGGTGGAAGAGACAACAGATTGTCCCCTAGAGCCTCCAGAGGTAGTATGGCTCTGTCTACACCTTGATTTTGGCCCAGTGAAACTAATTTTGGACTTCTGGGCCCCAGAACTGTGAAAGAATAAATTTATGTTGTTTTAAGCTACCAAGTTTGTGCTAATTAGTTGCAGCAGCCACGGATGGTTTGGGGTAGAGTTGGGAGTCATTGGAGGGACTTAGGGGTATGCTTGAGGGCTACTGAGGATAGTTTGAGGGTATAATTAGTGGCCATTGGAAAGTATTTGGGTGCAATTGGAGCCATCAAGGGGAATATTGAGGTAGGGTTGGGAAGTGTAGTTGGAAGACTGTGGGAAGGTAAATGGGGGATGCTTAAAAGTAGCATTGGGAGCTATTAGAGGACAGTTTAGGATATAGTTGCGAATTCTTGGAGGATGGTTTGTATGGTATGGTTGGGAACAATTGGAAGATGTTTCGTGGGTGTAGTTGCACATAATTTAAGACAAGGTTGGGCTTGGTGGTCATTTGAAGAGTGGTTTTGGGTTATAGCTGGGGCTGTAGTTGTGGGACCAAGGGAAGATAGTGGGTATTTAGAGGCAGGGTTGAGGGATGTTAGAAGGGGAATTTTAGGGGGTGAGGTTTACAATTGTTGGAGAGTAGTTGGGGTTAGGGTTGGGATTCATTGAAAGGGCACTTTGGGGATATTCTTGGGAGTTGATAAAGGGCAGTTTGAGGGTATAATGAGGGCTGTTGGAAGGTGATTTGAGGGTGAAGGTGAGGCTCTAGGAGGGTAGTTTAGTGATGCTGTCTGAGGATTAATAGAGTGGTTTGGGGGTACAGTTGAGGGCTGGTGGGTATGGTTTGGGGTGCAGTCTGGGGGCCTGTTTTAAAGTCTGGACATCAGACAGGTGTTGTGAGTTGTATTTGGGGAGCTATTAGTGAGCAATTTGGGGAGCAGTTAAAGATCATTGGCTAGGCCAGGCGTGGTAGCTCACGCCTGTAATCCTAGTACCTGGGAGGCCGGGGCGGGTGGATCGTTTGAGCTCAGGAGTTCGAGACCAGCCTGAGCAAGAGTGAGACCCATCTCTACTAAAAATAGAGAGAAATTAATTGGACAACTAAAAATATATAGAAAAAAGTAGCTAGGTGTGGTGGTACATGCCTGTAGTCCCAGCTACTCAGGAGGCTGAGGCAGGAGGATCACTTGAGCCCAGGAGTTTGAGGTTGCTGTGAGCTAGGCTGATGCCACGGCACACTAGCCTGGGCAACAAAGTGAGACTCTGTCTCAAAAAATAGGAAAATAAATAAAGATCATTGGCTAGACTACTATTCAGCAGTAAATGGAACAAACTATTGCTACATGCTACAACAGGGATGAACCTCACAAACACGCTAAGTGAAAGATATCAGACACAAGAAATCCACATGCTGCATTTATGTGAAATGTTCAGGAAAGGAAAATCTATACAGACAGAAAGTATATTAATGGTTGCCTAGAGCTGGGAATGAGAATGGGGACGTACTGTATTCATGCATGAGGGATCTTATTGGGGTGATGAAAATGCTCTAAAACTGAGTTATGGTGATTGTTGCACACTTTGGTAAATTTATTTAAATGTGCAATTGTTGAATTGCACACTTAAATATGGGTGACTTTTATGGTACATAAATTATATCTCAATT